GGGCGTGTCAATGGAAGAAGGGGTTTGACGCGATGCCAGCTTGTTTTCCACCAATTATTGTTTCTTGCTCGTTGATCAGTTGGTGGAGAACGGTCTGGGCCGCGACAAACCCACTGCCACTGACGCGCCCCATCGTCCGCAGCGTAAACACGCATGTCAACGTCGACCTACAACAATTTGTAAAACTAAGGTTAATATAGGTGTAAGAGTCAGAGGTTATAATCGTACGTACAGATGACGCTCAGAACCCAACTTTAGTCCGCGTACTATCACACAGAGCAAACAAAACAGCAGTCACGATAAGAGGGGACAGTACTCATTGTAGGTAAGACATTTTTCACATGTCAGACCCGCTTTTAATGAAACGTCAATCGTGGAAGGATTTTTTTGTCCTCGAAGCTTTAAGGTATTGCATGAGGGAAACACCTTCAAAATAGGAGAAGCGGAGCGAAGCATCTCCTCTGTGCGAAAAACTTTTTCGTGTACGAAAATTTCCTCGTAACCCCTCTCCATATAACTACTCTAGAATCGCTAGAGTCTCAAAAATAAGCGCCAAAGCTTCTAAAAAATACATGCAGGTACGGACATACACGAGACCCTTAAAAGGCCGAAAATTGAGAGAAATCCCTACATAGAATCTCTCATAAGAAACTTCAAAAAATTTTGACACCTCACGAATCCCTACTGAATCCTCCATATGCAGCAACATATATCTTTCCCTGACCTAGAGATTCCCTGTGCCCACACTTTCATAATTTCAGTTTTGTTTAGTGATTTTTCTTTGAAATGCCTAGAAGGCAAACTACTCGACATTTATACAATCATATATACATAACTTCTGACTGGTAATACCTATTCAATGCATGCTAGCACTCAAAACTTCTGACACAGCAGTACCGTAGTAGAGCAACCCATAGGTGCTTACGCAGCGTCCAGCCTTTGCGAATTCAGCCTTTCGGTCGTGCGTAGGACGCGATTACTCGCACGACGCAGTCGGTCGTGCCTGCGATCGCATCGTACGCGCGTCTGATTCGGATGGAGCTCCAGTGTTGAGAAATGGACCGCTATTACATTTTGCTTAAGTTTGAACGCTGTTTCATCAGACCGCCGTCGCGAGAGCGACGCACACGTTTGCAAAGAAAACCGTGCGCAAGCGAACAAGTGCAGTTTGCCTATATCTCAATAAATATCGCCAAAAGAAAATAGCATTAGAAATCACAATGTTAGCGAAGCACACAATCAGTGAGAACGTTGAAACGCTACCAGCTTCACTACTACCGCAAATATTGAAAACAACAGCGGAGTTTGTTTCTAGAGAGGCTCAGCCTACAAGTAGCAATAGACTTTAACAAAAATAATGACATCGTAATCAACGGCTCTAGTCAAACTAAAGCACACTGAGTGAGGGAGTAGGTGAATTCCGTTTCCAACAATGAGCAGATTCTCGTTCTCAGGACAACTCGAAACCGGCGCCTGCGTTTATAGCGTATCTAAAAAGAACTGGCCCTTTGCGTCTGAAATTTCATCGTTGAAGTTCCAAGGGAAAAAAGATGAAAAAGCACCTCAACTTTTCTTCAAGTTTTGCACGCGAACTGTAGATGGGCAGTTTGAAAAGATTCATACAAGTGGCACTTGTCGGTAGGTGATCAGAGTCATGCACCTGAAATGCACCCATAAAGAAGCTGAAATCGAAAGCGGTAGCAATCTCTTTATTGTCATTCACTTCATTTGTTTCGGAGTGGTACATGGTCCACCACAGAGTTCTTTTTTTTACAGCTTCAGTGGCACCTGTACTTTATGGGAAATGCTGTCATTGAGGAATTATCGAAAGGCCTTGGTCATTGTAGTTTTAGCGTAGAACTATGCGTTTAACTAGCATTCAGAACCAGGTGACTTGCACTTGTCCTAGGCAATCGTTCATGTGAGTCACGCTTTCCTTTACGAAGTGGGCACGATTGCTGAAGGAGGGCGGTGGTGGCCATCGTCATTGATGGATGTCTTGCGAAAGGACCTTTGGCCACTCACCAGGGAGGTCGTTCAGGACGTGGAGCGCTTTTTGAAAACGGTTTTTGCATGATGTGGGGTCACGTGCATGGAGTACCAAACTGGTGTTCATTTTTCCTGAACGCCTCTGGGAATACCAAAAAAGGAGTGAAAAAGAAGTCCATGGAAACCGACTGTTTTTGAGCCTCAGTGGGCTCTAAATCACTAGCAATTTTGACAAGTCGTTTCTCCCTTCGTATTCGCTTTTTTTCCAGTATCGTTCGTTTGCATCCACCATCATTGTTGGAGGCTTTTTTCTCTTTATTTTTTGAATATGACCGACCAAATCAGATGATTTCCCCTCCCCCCCCTCATTCAATCTCCCTTCTCTTCTGGACCGGCCCGTTACGCTCATAACGCTTCCTGTCTGCCTTTCTACTTTCTACACCTCCGCTTTTTCGTGACTGTTCTCGTGACGCTGGTAAACAAGCTTGAAATGCGAAGTCTAGCTCTAAAATGATAGAAAAAAAGAAATAAAAAGGAATCTTTCGAATATTTACGAAATGGTTGGAGCCAGAATGTTGAGGTACTTTCGCTGGTTTTTGCATGATGACGTTTGCGACATAGATAGTGTCCCCGTGGATTCGAAGCTTCAACAGCGCTAAATTTTACATTGAATCCACCCTGTGACGAAAACGATGTAGGGGGGGGGGTGACAGGGAACACCAGCATCCTTGTCAGAAAAGATCGTCGTTGTAAAATTCACGACAGGTGTTGTATTTGGAAAATGGAGGAGGCGTGTTTATGCCAGTACTGGGGAAGAAAAAGTAAGATTGGCGCTAAGCCAAGTAAGTAACGAAGAGGCGAAAATGATGGAGGTCTTAATTTACAAAATTCTTTCACAACGATGCGGTCTACCCTGCTCCTCATGTTCTGTGACTTGGGTCTCACGCAGGACAACTGATGATCTGCTTATACTACTTTCCCCAAACGATAAGTGTCGGTAACGAAAATACTGGCACAAAGGCAGTAGGCACGGTGGCTGGGAGAGCAGTTTTCGAAAATGTCATTGGTGGAGAGGCTGACCAGGGAGGTCGTTCAAGACGTTGAGCGCTTTTTGAAAACGGTTTCTTGCATGATGTAGGGTCACGAGCCGAGGGTACCAAACTGATATTCATTTTTCCTGAATGCCTCTGGGAATACCAAAAAAGGAGTGAAAAAGAAGTCTATGGAACCGAACTTTTGTGAGTCTTAATGGGCTCTAAATCACTAGCAATTTTGACCAGTTGCTGAGTGGAGGATCCTTATAAAGATACTATAGGAATGGAGGAGGAAAATAGTCGCAAGTGAGGTCCTACTTGAGGCACGTGGTTAAAAGTGAGCGGCTCTGAGCGGCTCGTCGGAATAGTTTTTTCAACGATCGGAGCGGTGTTCAGCTACAACGATCGAATGGCTAGT